CCCCTGTCTTTGTAACTGAAGACTTATGGCTAAACCCGTATTTCGATTTATGCATCCAAATCCAAAGGTGACCAACGGTGGGATTTCAGGCCGGAGGAGAGGCCATGAATGGAGCCACTGGGTCCCGGGTGAGGCAGGGTCAGTGGTAAGACCGTCCTCGGATTATCCTCAGGGCCTCTGCAGTGTGCATGGAGGCAGCTCCCCGGGGGGCAGCGAGGCCAGCAGCAGAGGGTCCCGGAGAAGGGCTGGGCAGGAAGGTGGAGCGGGAGAGGGTGGGGTTTGCTTCAGAAGGGGGCACCTGAGCGGTTCTCAGAGTATAAACAACAGGAAAGAGAGAGGCTGGGTGCGGGGAGGGGGGGGGGGGGGCCAGAAAGCAGGCAGAGGGAGGCCGGGCGTGAGTCCTGCCTCCGCCGCCTGCACACGGTGGCCTGGAGCAGGTCTCTGCTGGAGCCCGGCAGGCCCCGCACGGGGACCCGTCCCTTCTGCTCCCACCAGCCCCCTCAGCGGTCAGCTCGTCAGACATCAGTTGGGTTTGCTTCCAAGCCTGTGCATGCCCATTTGGTTTTCATGGTTACAGAACTTCCTTGGATAGTGTGCCAGTCCGAGGCCAGCTCGCCCTCAGATCCATGCTACCCCACCCCCCACTCCGCTCCATAATTCCGGGGTCTGATTTCACACAGTCAGCTGGTTCCCGTTCCGTTTGACCGACGGGAGACGCTGGGAGGGCCTGGCGGGAGGGAGGAAGAGAGGTGCCCCTTTGCTCCTTGTCCCCGGGGCCCCTCGGGAGTGGTGGGGTCTCCTCTGTGGCCCCAGCAGATGCTAGACTCTCCCCCCACATCCCTCCTCCTCTGGGGGCCCCTGGCAGCACCCCCTCCTGGTATCCCTCCCGCCAATGAGGGCAGCGACTCTGAGGCGGCTCATCTCGGGGCTCCTCGCCATCTTTGGGGGGGAAGAGTTCTTCCATCGCTTGGGCTGCCTATACCCCCTGATTTGACCTCCTCGGTTTCCAATACTCAGTGTGGCTTCCCGTTTCTTGTTTATCGATGAGACAAAACCAAACCAGAGTGTCTGTTTCCATGGAAACTAGGTGGCATACATTGGAAAGACTCAGTAAAGGCAAGTCACTAAGAAAGAAAAAAATACCCCTAACCGGTTTGGCTCAGTGGATAGAGCGTCGGCCTGCAGACTGGAAGGTCCCGGGTTCGATTCCGGTCAAGGGCATGTGCCTTGGTTGCGGGCACATCCCCAGTAGGAGGGTGTGCAGGAGGCAGCTGGTCGATGTTTCTAGCTCTCTATCCCTGCCCCTTCCTCTCTGTAAAAAATCAATAAAAATATATATATATATATATATTTTTTTTTTAAAGAGAAAATGAATTGTTTAACGAAGTCTGGGCGGGACTTTGTAACGACGGGGAGACAGCCACCTCCCGGTGCTACCGGATGCTGATGGCTTCACAGGCGTCTTCGTGTTCCTGATCCACGGGGAGGAGGCCACACCGGGAGCTGTAGGAGATGCCATCGGGGTTGACTGAAGCCAGACGGACAGGAGGAAGGCCATGAGCGGCACATTTATAAATTAAAGTTAAAATTAAAAGTTTAAGGAACACAAGTACTATTTTGTGTGTGTGTGTGTGTGTGTGTGTGTGATTCTCTTATTCAACCAGACTTGGGGATTAACCTGATCTGGTTGGCTCAGACGTTTCCGTGGTGTCAGGTAATTCTTTCCAATGGAGAACCCGGGGGGACCCGCCTGCCCACCGCCTGCCACCGTCAGAAGGTGAGGGAAAGGGACCCCCGGGAACCGGGCACCCCTAGGCGCCAGGCACACGCAGGGCATGTCCTCGCTGAGTCCTCCAGGCAATATCGGGAGATGGGTCCTGCGACTGTCACAGGCTCTGTCAGGAGCAGCTTCAGAAGAAGAAAACCTCTTGCTCACCATCTAACTCACAGGTACCAAAGCCAGGCTTCCGGAATGTTCTTTCTGCTTCCCAGGCAGGCTGCAGGAGTTAGTTCAAAGTCTGGCACACGCTTGTGAGGGGGCAAGAGGAGATCAGGAGCCTCTTGAGGGAAGGATGGACCCTGGCCACCAGTCCGTGCTGGCTCCCTCGCCCCGGGAACGCCCTCAGCCACCCCTGGGCTGACACCCCGCTGAGTCCCCCCTGCTCCCAGGCCTGGACTCCGTTTCCCAGGCAGGGAGAGTCCCTCGGGGTAACCAAGCGATAGGTGTTACGGGGGCCCACTCTTACGCGTGGAAAAACCAGCCGAGTGCGTAGGGCGGTGTGTTAGAAACTGGAGGTGGCGTCAGTGAAGTGGAAAGAACTCCTAGGCCGGGAAGCGGAGGACGGGGGACAGATGGGGGGGCACGGCGGGGAAGGGGGGTTCCACTGACTCACTGTGACTGTGTCTCTGCCCCTACAGGGGCCTCAATTTCTGCTTCTGCTAAAGGGGGTCTTCCCAGGCACGGGGCCTCTGGTCTAGTCCGGAATGTTCTTTCTGCTTCCCAGGCAGGCTGCAGGAGTTAGTTCTGGTTGAATAAGAGAATCACACACACACACACACACACACACACACACAACGTGGCAGGCTCCACGCTGCACATTTGGCCAGGAGGGCGAGGCCCCTGGGCAGGTTCCGACGTCCGACCGTCAGTGCCCGGGCCGGGCCAGCTGGCGAGCTTGCAGGGAGCAGCCTGTCCTCCTGCGGCGGCCATGGCTCCTCACCTGCGCTGACTCATAACGGGGCCCGGACGACGTCACCGAGACTCGGGCGAGGACACTGACGCGGACGGTGTCCTCAGCCCGCTGCCCGTCCCTCCGAGAAACGTGTGATCCCCGTTTCACGGGGAAGGAAGCCGGCCGAGAGAGGAAGTGGCTTGGCCCGTGGTCCCGCAGCTGGGAGTCAGCAGAGCTGGGCCTGGAACCCACCAATGTGGCCCCAGGACCCCATGGTTGTCGCCATGAACCTGCTTCCTCCCTAGACAAGTAAGGACCCCGTCACCACCCTCTCGCCACTCGGGGTCCGAAGACCGAGCCTTAGCTCCGTGGGAGGCACAGACAGCACGGGACTCGGGTGGCCCTGCTCCCAGGGAGCTCCGTGTGGCTGTGGGCCGAACCCGGTGTCTGCGGGACCTCAGACTAGCCCCTCCTCCTGCCCCATGAGCCTTGGGAGACCGCCATGGGCCTGAGGCTGGTGCTGGGGCTTCGCCCCTCGTGTGGGCTCCCTGGAGAGGCCCTGGGGGTTTGTGAAGGCTCAGGACGTAGCTTAGAGGACACAGGAGGGTGCTGAGGGCCTGCCTGAGGCCGGGGCTGGCCCATCAGAGGCTGGTGTTCTGGTCCCACTCAGAGTCCTGCGCCCTTGGACAAGCTGGCTTCAACGTCCTGGGCCTCAGTGGTCTGGCCTGTGAAATGGGAGGATAGAGCTGCTTGCAAGGGAAATAGTGTAAACCACCACCCTCCCCCCAGGCCTGACCAACCTTCTGGGAACATCAACGTGCAGGGTTGAATCATCTTCCACGTCTTGCCTATTTTTGAGTCCCTCTGGGCCTCCAACCCCCTGGGAGGTGAAGGGCTCGAAAGGGGGCTGACAAAGGCACGCTGGGTGGGTAGAGCCTGAGCGGAGGCCAGGAGGTAGAAAGGCCTGAGCTCGGGAGATCGGAGCCGGGAACCCAGAGGGCATGCACAGGAGAGCAAAATGAGCAAAGGGCCCAGGACCCGGCTCCCCGGAGGCCTGAGGCCCCTGCTGCAGGCGCTCAGGAAGCCCCTGCTCGGTGGGCAGGCCGCGGGAGGCGTGAGCGCTGGAGATGCCGCTCATGTGTTTCCCATTTGTACTTAATCCCAACTCCCATAAACCCCCGAAGTGCCACCCAGCACACATGTGGACGCCTCTCTGGCAGCAGTGGTGGTGGACAGTGGTGGTGTCGGCTGCAGCCAGGACTGGGCTGCAGCGAGAGGGGGGGGGGGGGGAGGGAGGGCAGCCCTCTGCCCCCTGATGGGCCCAGGCTCCAGGGGCCAGTGAGGGCCCTGCGGGGCTCCTCGCCGGCCCAGGCCATCGCTGGCCTTCATTAAAAGGAGTCTCCCACAGGAGCCAGACGGCCGCCCACCGCCCCCACGCCGACCGCTCCCAGTGCTGTCTGGGCCGCGTGCTGAGGCCAGCCCCACATAAAACCCATCACTTCTCTCTTTTTCTCTTTCTTTTTTCTCTTTCTTTTTTTTTTCTTTTCCCCAAAAGAGAGAAAGGCAGCCACAGGATCCTCTAAGGGGCTGTGACATCAGGGCCCAGGTGACCGCCGCCCAGCCAATGGGCCGTGGCCGCGAGCCGGCTTCTTGCATCCTGTGAGCTGAGGTTGGGTTGACACGGCGAAGGCCTGGTCCCTCAACCACAGAACCACAAGGCCAGGCCCTCGGCCGCCTCCGGGGCCCTCGGCGGGAGCTGGTTGGCTCCCGGGCCTCCCCACCCCCGGGCCACCCTCGCACCCACTGGAGCTTGGGCCCCGCCGGGGGCCGAGCCTCCTTCATTCATTCCCCGAGGCTGGCGCTGGAGCCCTGCACTCTCCTCCCGCTGCCCGGCCGGCTCTTCCGCCCTGGCTGCCCCGGGCCCCTTCCCGCCATCTAATGATACACTCTGCATGCGCTTCTGTTGAAAATTTGTGGCTAGACATTCCTGTGGGACCGAGAATCCAAATTCTTGGGTACAAACAGAAACTTACTTTCCTTGGGGATTTTTTTTCCTCCTCCATCTCTCTCGCTCACACACTCTCTCGCGTTCTTTCCTTTTTTCTTTTCTGTCACCGTAGGGGGGTTGGGGGGGGGGGTGGTGGGGGAGACGAAACAAAACAAAACAAAACAAAAAACCCTAAAAGCAACTCCACCACCACCACCACCACCACCACCCCTTTATTTTATTTTGAAAAGTGGCTGGGAAAAAATAAAACAACAGCCAACCAAATCAATCCCAACCCACCCCCCCGAAGGGCCGAGGTCTCGCCTTCCTCAGCGCGGGGCATGGCATCAAACAGCATCTTCGATTCCTTCCCGACCTACACGCCGACCTTCATCCGCGGTGAGTAACTGCTGCCCGGGGCGCTGGGCTGGCTCTGGCGGGTGGGAGCTGTGGCCAGGCCCCGGATCGCCTCCCTCCACTGGCTTTCGGGGCACAGCCTGTCCCCCTAAAGCCGCTGCCTAAACCTGGGGTGGGGAGAGGGGTGGGCGGGCTCCTGGAGCGAACGGGAGCCGGTGGGGACAGCTGGTGGTGGGGGCCATGGATGCCACAAGATCTCCAAGGGCAGCTCTTGGAGGGCTCTGGGGTAGAGGGTTTGGGGGGTGCCCCTGTGGCCCGTGGCTTCCTGCCTCCCTCCTGGGGCTCCTGAGTCCGGCAGCCCCCGCCTCGGGCCCTCCGGAGAGCATGGATCCCCCGCCTGGGCTCAGGCAGCCACGGACGCAGGCCAGCTTCTGAGAGCCGGGGGCAGGCGGCAGCCAGGCTGCCCTGCCTGAGACCTTCCTGAGGACTTCTCCCCGGCCTCCGGAGGGTCCCTGGGGCGAGGGAGCCGCGGGAGGGGCGGGGCGGGAGGCCCTCGCTGGGAACCGCCTCGCCCTGGATGGCACCGAAACGGCCTTGTGTGGGGGGCGCCTGCCTCGGGGCGGTGTGCGAGCGTGGTGACAGAGGACAGGAAAGTGTTTCTGGACGGCGTATGCCTCCATTCATTCCCAAAGAGGCCCTGATGTCTGGGTTGAGTCCTTCCACAAGGAGAGGGGTCCAGGACCCCCCAATGGTGAACCTCTGGTTGAGGCTGGAACTCAGGGGAGCTTTTCTCTGATGCTTTCTGGTCTGTGGGGTTGATGGGCTGTGACCTCAGACAGCCCCCACCTGCCTCCCCCCGCACCCCCCCCCTGCCCTTCCCAAGCAGGAGCCCAGAGGGGCATGAGGCCCCTGAGATGAGGGGTCAAGATTCCCTGAGCTTGGGTCCTGACTCAGTTGCTGAGTGTCCTTAGTCAAGTTACTTAACCTCTCTGTGCCAAAAACAGAGGCCCCTCTGGACGCGGTGATATGCTGAAGGTCTGAGGCTGGGCATGGGCTGTGTCTGAAGGCAGTGCCTCCGGGCTGGGCACTGCTCCACTCCCAGGGTTTGGGGGGCTGTGTTGCTGTTACCCGGCCGAGGTGGTAAAGTCAGCCTGTCTGTTCGTCTGCCCTTCTGCCCACTGCCAGCTACCGGGCCTGGGCGGCTGGCCCTGGGCAGGGACCGAGGCCCATTCGGGCGGTTACTGTCCAGAGGGCTTGCCTGGTGAGAAGCTGAGGCAGGCTGTGCTGAGTGGGGAATGGGGGGGGGGGGCGCTGCCGTCCCTGCAGGGGGGGCTCCCACCAAACCTGCTGGTGGCTGCGCACAGCAGCAGCCCGTCCAGGAGCCAAGCGCCGTGGGCTCTTTCCTCTAAGCTGCTCCCATTATAACGCTGTTCCCTTTGTAGTCCTGGGAGCTAATTAAAGGCAGTTCTGTGGCAAGAAAATAAGAGTTTATAAGAACCATTTGCTGGGTCTTTGTAATCTGTGTTTACTTCCCCCTCCACGGGCGAGATGAAGAAATGTAGAGTCTAAAACAAAGCAGCCCAGGAGCCGGGAGGACAGGGCTGACCCACCTAGGATGGGCTCCTGACGCCGTGGGGCCTGGAGGTGGGAGATGGCAGTCGCGGCACGCAGGGGGAGGGCTGGGGGGAGCCGGCGGGTGGTGCCAGAGGCCAGCGGCCCCGGCAGAGCAGGCTGGTCCCTGGTCGCAGGGACACGGACGTGTTTTCTAGGCCTGGGTCTGGGGTCTCGGGCTCTGTCCTGCCCGCGTCGGCTCTCCAGGTTCTGCTCACAGCTCACGTCGGGGGTCTGCCTCCCGGACCCCGCCTCCCGAGGCCCCCGGGCTGCCGCTGCTCTGGTTCCCCACGGAGACCTGAGCTCTGGCTCCTGCCGAGCCCGGCTCCACGCTGCCCCACGCAGGGTCCTTAACCAGTTCCGGCCCACGGACCTCTCTCCGGGGCCTCGGGAAGTCTGCTGGCTCCTCGGATCTGCATTTTTAAACGCACAGAACAACCTGCATAGGATCTCAGAGGAAACCCGACCTTTGGAAAGGGAGCTAGCAGAGTGTAAAAAAAAAAAAAAAGCAAGTTTGCGAGATCGTGGGCACATGACGCTTGAGTAACTCGGGGAGCGGAGAGATCTCACAGAGCTACCCCGACGGCGTCTACCGTGAGCCGAGGTCCCCTGTGACAACCCCCGAGGCTGCAGAAGCTCTGTGCTCTCCACGGAGACCAAGGCCCTGTGGGAAAAGACGCTACCCCGTTTCCCCGAAAGTAAGACAGTGACTTATATTAATTTTTTCTCCCAAAGTTGCGCTAGGTCTTATTTTCGGAGGATGTCTTATTTCGGGGAAACACGGTACATCTCAGGGAGAGGTCAGTGAGAGGAGAGAAGTCTGCGTGTTTCCTCTCCAGGTCCCCAGGCCCCCTGAATTCTGAGGGAGCAGAAACTCCAGGCCCTCAGCAGGCAGGGATGGAGCCCGTGGGTCTGGGGGGGTCCCCCAGGGAGCTTTCCACCTCCTGGATCCCCACCTCCCACCTCTGGCTGTGAGATCAGAATCTACTGAGTTGGCGTGGGTGGTTTGGAACCACCACCCTCCCCTCTCCCACCCCCGCCACCGCCAAGCTGATCTGACGCACAGCATGGGTAGGTTTGGATACCACCAACCAGGAGCCCTGGACCTGCCTGCCTCTGCCACCCATGTGCTGTGTGACTCCATCTGAGTCACTCGACCTCTCTGGGCTGCCATTCTTTCCTAGGTAAAAGGGGAGCCATGAGCTGGATTTGATGCCAGCCCTGTGTGGCCTTCCCTGTCTTTATTCCCCCAACCCCCACCCCCCACCCCCGCCAGCCTAGGCGCCAGCACCATTGCCAGGCTCCTGCCCCCTGTGTCCCCACAGACCAAAGAGAGGTGACTGCTCTTTGCTTGCCCTGGGGGGTGAGCACTAGCATCTCAGAAGCAGTAAGGTCTGCCCCTGGTCCGCTGCCGAGTCTGACTCCTTGTGAGTAACATCCCAGTTTGTCTGACTCGGGAGAGCAGGGAGCATTCGTTTGGGGTCAGGGACCAGAGCTCCCCTCAGCTCGCCGCCCTGGAGGGGGGTTTGGGAAGAGGTGGAGAGGCGTGGATTCTCCCTGCAGCAGAGGGTGAGGAGAAGACAGCAGAGGGCAAGGCTTAACCCCACGCGTGGGCAGACGGATGGTGGAATTGCAGGCCCTGCGATGGAAGGCCGGAGAGCAGGGTGGCCGGGGAGCCGCTGGGCCCCCAGCACCTCCTCCTCCTCCCATCTCTGCCCCCAGGCCGCTCCCAGGCGGGGCAGGCGGGACCCATCTTCTCTTTGGCAAATGGGGAAGCTGAGAGCTCGTGGCTGTGGCTCAGCCACACTGTGGCTCTCTATGGGCACGTCCCCTCCTCCCTTTGGGCCTTGGTTTCCCCACCTGACAATGTAGGCACCGCCTTCAGGCGCCCGAGGGCCGGTTCACAGCTCGGGGAGGGCCAGCACCTTCATCCTGAAGGCCCAGGAGGCTCCTCTCTGCGTCCCCTGGGGCAACCCCTCACGGCAGGTCCCCCGACAGCACGCCTTAGCTCACCCCCAGGGACAGAAGTGCTCCCCCAGGACAGAGGACCAGAGACCACGGCCCTCCCCTGCTGCCGGCAGGATTGAGGAGGCCCCAGAGAGGCAAAGGTGCCCCTTTATTCATGAATTCCACAAAAGCTTACGAAGGAGCAGAGCAGTGAGATTCTCGCTGGGGCTCTAGAATCAGACTCTCCTGGTTCGAGTCTCAACGCTGCCTTTCCCTCAATGTGTAGCCTGGGGCAAGTCACTTCCCCTCCGTGCGCCTCTGTTTGTCCATCTGCAACATGGGGGTGGCCAAAACCGGTTTGGCTCAGTGGTAGAGCGTCGGCCTGCAGACTGAAAGGTCCCGGGTTCGATTCCGGTCAAGGGCATGTACCTTGGTTGCGGGCACATCCCCGATGGGGGGTGTGCAAGAGGCAGCTGGTCTATGTTTCTCTCTCATCGACATTTCTAGCTCTCTATCTCTCTCCCTTCCTCTCTGTAAAAAAATCAATAAAATATATATGTTTTTAAAAATGGGGGTGATGATTCTACCAACCCCCCCCCCCCGGAGACCTGGAGAGAACGGAGTGAGGGGGCCATCTGGCACAGAGCAGGTGCCCAGTCAGTGTTTCCATGACCCTGAGCCTGGCCTTGTTCTGGGGGCTCGGGTACCTGCCCTTGAAGAGCTCATGGGCTGGTATGGAAAGAGATGGGTAAACTGGAAACTGCACTGGGGTGTCATACATGTTATGGGGGGGTGACCAGGGGCTGGAGATCAAAGAGAGGTATGAACCCACATTGGGGTAGAGAATGATTTTCCTGGAGTGGTGACTCTTGGCTGAGCCTTGCAGAGAAGGAAGTGACAGTTGGGGGTGGGAGGTTTGGGAGGGAGGCTGTCCGGGGCGGAGGAAGGGCCTGGGCAGAGGCATGGAGGCAGTAAAGACTCCGGGCGCCCCCTGGGATGGCTGAGGACATGGCATCGGGTGGGGTCCTGGGGGAGGGGGTGGCTCTGCTGCTGGGCCAAGGCTCTCTGAGCAGCCGTTGGGTAGTGGCCGGCACAGAGGAGTGGAGAAATGGAGAAAGGCCTCTTGGGGGTGAGTCAGGCCTGCGTGGAGGCAGGGGTGCACAGAGCGCCCCCCAGGCCTGGCTGGATGGTCTGACTCAGGGGTCACTGGACAGGAAGGAAGCTGCCCAGACCAGAGGGGTCCGTCCCTCTGTCCCTTCCTGAACTCGGGGTGGCGGCCAGCAGCAGGGGCTCTCCCGGTTCTAACGTGGGAAGTCCCGAGTCCCGGGCACCCCAACATGGTGGGTCACCCCGAGCGCGTCCGTGGCAGCCTCCCCGTCCCCCACCCGCCCCGGGAGATGAATGGCCCGGCCGCCCGCCACCCCACGACCACCATGGCGCTCGCCTGGCGCCACCTCTGCCCGGGCCCTTTGATGGCAGCTCCT